AAAAAAAATTAAGTGGATGTGGTGGCACATGCCTGTTGTTCCAGCTACTCGAAAGGCTGAGGAGGAAGGATCACCTGAGCCCAGCAGGTCGAGGCTGTGGTGACTGTGAGTGTGCCACTGCACTCTAGCCTGGGCAAAAGTGAGACACTGACTAAAAAAAAAAAAAATTAAAAATACTGTTTGATGACCACTTGTATACCTACTGCTGAACTGTTCCCCACATCTTTAAAATAAAAATAATTTAAAATAAACAATTTTTTAAAATAAAAAAATTTAGTTTCTAGTCAATATAGATAGGGTAGATATTTCTTATATTTATGTAAATATAAATAGATAGGTAAATAGATGAGGAAAATATAGCAACATGTTAACAACTGTTGAAATTAGGTGGTAGGTGTATGAATAGTCATTGTACTATTCTTTCTAGTTTTGTTTCAAAGTTTCCAAAATTTTTCAAAAAAGGTTTTATTGTTCACCTGCCACAGACCAGGTTGATATAGAATTGAAGAACACAGTTTCTGTCCTCAAGAAATTGTAGCTCTTCGCCACCCACCCGGGCAACTTGGCGAGACCTCATCTCTACAATAAATCAAAAATTAGCAGGGTGTGGTAGCACGCGTCTGTAGTTCCAGTTACTTGGAAGGCTGAGGCGGAAGGATCGCCGGAGCCCAGCAGGTCGAGGCTGCAGTGGCCAGGAGCATGCCACTGCACTCCAGTCTGGGCGACAGAGTGAGACTCCAACTCAAAAAAAAAAAAAAAATCATACCTAACAAGGGGGTGTCTGTGCGAGTTCCAGCTTCTGTTTTGGAAGCATCACTAGGACAGAAGTAGAAGGATGTAGCTTTCCTTCCTATTAAAATATTTAAACTTAGAGATGTCAGTTTTCCTTAACACCACCCTAAATGCTATCACCAGTGAAATACTGTTAACTTTTCTTCAAATACCTTTATATCTTTCAGTTCAAATAACACCCAACTAAGAGGGAATGGGAGGGAGTATATGAGGGAGGGGCTGCAGAACACAACCTCTGTACTCCATAAATATTTGTTGATACTAAGAGCAACACTGGTAAATACCAACCTAAGATTTGGTATGCCAGAATCTTAAGGCCCACAGATATAAAGACTACCACCAGAAAGAGCTGACCATCAGCAAGCACTATGGGCAAGGCACTGTGCTGGTACTTCACATGTTCCCTTTCATGTAATCACATAAATTTTATGAGGTGAATGAAACTATTATTTTCATTTCATAGACAAGGAGACTATGCAATATGCCTTAAATCATACAGCTGGTATGTACCAAAGGTTGGATCTGTATTCAGGGTAGTCTGACTACATTATTTTCCTAATATTTTTTGGGTTTTTTTGAGTCGGGGGTCTTACTCTGTCACCCAGGCTGGAGTGCAGTGGCATGATCATAGTTCCCTGCAGCTTTGATCTCCTGGGCTCAGGTGATCCTTTTGTCTCAGCCTCTTGAATAACTGGGACTACAAGTGTGTGCCACCATGTTCTTTTTTGGGGTAGAGATAAGGTCTTGCTATGTTGCCTAGGCTGGTCTCAAATTCCTGGTCATTTCACCTCGGCCTCCCAAAGTGCTGGAATTATAGGCATGAGTCACCACACCCAACCTATTTTCCTAATATTTTCTTAGAAAAATTTCCAGTATAAAAATCAGCCAGGCTCAGTGGCTCAGCCTGTAATCCCATGCCTTTGGGAGGCTGAGGTGAGTGAATTGCCTGAGCCCGTGGGTTCGAGACCCGCATGGG